AACTCGTTCGTGGACATTAAAATTAACAAGTTTACGAACATATATAAACAAAAATATTCATAAACAATAAATAAATTATAATCAAATAAATTTAAATAAACAAATCTTAAAAAAAATAAACTAACATAAACAAACTTTAAAATAGAATTAAAATAAAGGATAAAAATATAATTTTTTTAATATTATTATAAATGAACAACGAACGAATAATAAACAAATAAATTTTAGATAAATTTTAAACAAATTTATTCGAAAATATAAACGAATCGAATATATTTTTATTCATGTTTAATTCATTTAATTAACAAATATAAAAAAATTATTTAAAATAATTTGTTAAACTTAATAAACAAACATAAATAAATAATAATCGAATATATTAACGAATAATTAGTAGAAATCTCTATATCCCTCCCCTTATTTTGTCAATTTACAATATAAAACTGGCCATAGTCAAACAGGAAGAGATGTGAAGGGATTTATAACGAACAAATCTAAAAATATTTCATTTCATGATAAGATTGATGGAAAAGTACAAGATCGAATAGAAAATTTGTTCTGATCTATCTATCTATGTAGCAGGATATGTGATAGCTATAAACTACCTCTAATCTAAACTTATGGTTTACCTCTATCAGATAGCACAATTATATAAATACATATATATTTCATTATTTCATCTTAATTAATCTTTTTATTCCAACCAAATGCTGTGAATTGGGAAACAAATTTTCATTGCCAACCGAACTTTATTTATGTAGAATTCTCTTTTTCTTTCTGCATCGTCTTTCTTTCGGTTTCTGTTTTGCTCTCTCTCGAAGGGGTACTATATACTTTGTAGGAATAATTGATGTACGTCGGCATATTCTTTTCTTGCATTTCCATAACTAGATCTAGACATACTCATTACTCGTGTGTTTCTTTTTAAACATAATTACAACTATGGAAATGGAACCCTCATTACACATGTTTTCGATTATTGTACTTGAAAATGGAATGTCAACGAAGGTGTTAAACATCAATTCTTCAGAGGGAGGATCATATGCCATTCTCTTTATACATACCCTTTTTTTTCCCATCCTTCCTTTTGCAGTGCTACCAGGAATACAAATTTAATTAGCGATAGTGCGAAAATGAGGACAAAGTATAAATTAAGCATCTGGCTTTGATGTAATTTAAAAAAAAAAAAAAAAAACACTTTAATTAGGCGTTGAAAGTGTGTAAAAGCAGTGCACATATATAATTAAATTTAAAGATGAGCATATACTGATAATACAAAATTTTCAGCCGTTGAAATTTTTAACTTTGAAAACTTTGAGTTAGTTAATTTGGTCGTCCACTATAACAAATTGTTCTAGATTAAGTCTCATTACTAATAGAAATCTTCCTAATGTTTAAGGAATATTTTGATAATCCGAGACTACTAGTACCAGTTTCAAGTAGTAATTAATTTAGGATTATTTTAGTATTAAGGCTGAAAATAGTTTTTACATTTAAAAATTACTTTTGACTCAAATGTCAATACTAAATATTAAAATAAATAAATAAACTTTTCAATTTAAAAACTTAATTTGCGAATCCAAACCAAAAAACTAGTAAAATTGCAAAAAGGTGTTTTTGCATTCTACCATAGTTTTTTTTTTTTTTTTGGTGATATAACTTTATTATCTTTATATTTTTAAATTTTTATTATTTTATGCATTTTTTTAGACTTTTCAATTCTCCACCTCACTTATTCATCACAACCACGGTAAACATTTAAAATTTTAAACTATATTTTTCGTATTAAACTAGACCTTAATTAACATTGGCCAATGGGGTAGCATAGCATTTCTTTTGAACTGATATTTTCTAATTTATCTGATAAAGCCATACCTAGCTAGGCATGATCTTTTAAATAATTGGGTATTTAGAGTTAGTATAATTAATAAAGATAATGGCAACTATTGGACCATTGACATTTAAGATTAATTAGTATTATTTAATTAAAAACACCTTTCATTTTAATTTGTAGTAGGTTCAGTGCTTAATTTGCTTCTTTTGAAAAGTTGGCAAACGAGGCAAGGGCATCAATTCTCTACCCCATGGCTGTTGCTTGATTCCAAATATCAGCCAAGCAAACTATGATTATGTCCAAAATTTTTCAAGCGATAAGATCCTTAATTTTTGCACAATCTTAAACGTAGAATTACGCTCCTGATTAATTTGTAACTTTTAAACATATAAAAAAAAAAAAATTTTATATCATCTATTGTCAATAAAATTTGTTGGATGTAGATCTTTGAGTTTAGTGATTGCCTTAATTTTATTGTTGAGCTCCTTAAATAATGATTTATGCGCTCCGACCAAATTCTTTTTTCCGGCATAAATTTTGTAATTGATTTTCCTCCAAGGGGCAATCAGCCAGCATTAACCCCTTGATCACCCCAGTGCTAAAATTAAAAATGATTAATATTTAATATTATTAATTAATGGTGTTCATTATTTCTATAATATGATATAAAGACAAAAGAATCTAAGTGGGGACCTTTTGGGATGAAGCTTAATCAAGGCGATTTAGCCTTTTTAAACGTAGTTTGATTGATTAGACACTCGTTTCTAATTATATTACAATCTCGAGCATCATTTTGTAAGATCATTTGAAAAAGGGGGTTGGAGCTTACCAAATTTTTTCTTAATTAAAGTTACAATTAGTGATAAAAGGTATGGTGTTTAACGTCAACAATGACGCATCAATAAAGGAATGTTATCGTCACTAAAACCAATTAAACAGATTTTAAAACTGATAAAAAGGGACAAATAACCTAATTCCGTATGCATATAAGTACATGCATGCTCGAAACTTAGATAACTAAATTTGTTGGAATGTCGCATGCGTTACTTACATGAATCGAGTTCCAATTAGAATTAATTTTGTCTTGACCTAACTGGGAAATGTAAAGTAATGTTCAATTATGCACCGTGATTAAGAGATGAGGTGCAAATTAAAAGTATAAAGGACAAGAATGAACCGGTCAGAAACCTTAATACATGCATGAAACTTGGTTAATCTCTTGATTGGTGGGAGACAGTGGATGTCCCACAGAAGATTGGGCAAAGGGTTAATGAGCTGCGCCCTGAAATATAATGGGTAAATGGATTCCCATGAAATTTGAAATGGTGGGTTTTGGAAAAAAGCTAACAAAAGAAATTAAAAGTGATTGAATGAAAAGAAGACGAGACCAAAAGACATATCCTTTACCGAACATTTTCTGTTATTATGGAACTAAAGTTTGCATGAAACAAAGAAAAGGAAAAGAAAATTCATAGTGTCTCCAAGGCCCAAGATTTTGAAAATAAAATGCCACTTTTTACAAGGTGGTAATATCAGAATTTCTTTGGAAGTCAAATCATCCTTATTGAAACTATGACTTAATCCAGTTGATTCATTTTTAATAGTCTGCATTCAATATATTTAAAGTTAAAACTCAACATTTATAATTATTTTTTTATTCTCAAACTATAACTTCCTTTATTAAAAAAAAAAAAAAAATCACCCTCACAAATGTTTATCCATGGGAGATTTTCCAGGAAATGAAGTGAACACCCTTTCACTCTTTCAACCCAACAGTTGGGCTGCGTCCTGCTCAAATTGGACTTTAGGGATGGGCTTCCCATGATTGATAATGAAGAAAGCCATTGTTTGAATATTTACAAATTGCTATGGACCCATACTAGCTAATTGGGCCCCAAAATCATAACGGAGACAAAAATGGTAAATTTTAAGTACAGTGCCTATCTGGGGCTTTGACTGAGAACCTTTAAGCTTGAAAAGTCCCCACTATTGCAATCCACCACAATACTTCCACCCCCCGACCACCAAAAATTCGACCTTCAACTATTGTGCATTCATATGTATTTTAACTAATTTTTTAAAGTTAAAATTTATTTATAATTATTTATTTATAAAAATTTATAAAAATTTTATGTTTATTTAATTATTATGTGACAACATATAAAATTAAGACATTTACAAAACATTTAACGTAAAGGTCTATTCTTGAGAGTCGTAGCATAATCGTATGGTGTGTAACCACTCCTGCTCTTTCAAATTACATACCAAACCATCACGATAACACGTGGTGGGTCCTACGGCAGTGATGATGAATTCATTGTCAACCATGTTACACCCCTCCGCTTAAGGTAAAGCATTGGAAGCGTACACGTGTCGAACTCAGTCTAACCCACTCTCTTCCCCAACCCACGTGGTGACACGACCCACATGTCAGTGGTCCCCATCTCAAATAAAAAGGTTTTGAGATTCCAATGGAGCCGCTCCTTTCCATTATTTACAACTGGGTCCGACTTCCCCTCCCCGGGAAGCCCCAGCCCAAAAGCTGTTGGGTCGCACTTGATCCTGCCCTCACGTTATTCATTCGTCTCTCCAGAGATTATTAATGTTATTATTATTATTTTAAATTTTAAATTATGTAATTTGTGTATATTTTTATATCATTTTTATTGTATTTAAAATCATTAAAGTTTTTCATATGTTGATAGTGAATTTTTTTAATTTTGTGAAAGAAATTTTAAAAAATTATCACGTTTTATTTTTAATTATTTTTAATTTTTTGTATTTTAAGAATTTTGACTTTCTACTAATAAAAATGTTAATATTGACCCTCACATTGACACTATAATTATGGGGGAAAACTACACTAAAATTTAATATCATATTAAAAATTTAACTATAATTTAAACGTCATATATGATATAAACCCTAACAAAAAAAATACTATAAATAAAAAATAATAAAATACATGGCAAAAATTCAACATGCCCATGCATGGTATTACCATTACTTGTTTAGAGACTAGCATGCGTACTTACGACATTGACATATTCAATTAATTGGAATAAAAAAAATATGGCATTTCAATTTCAATCTTGGATATGAAATCCAGTACATGCTTGCAAAAAAAAAAAAAAAGTACGTTATTTGGATTTAACTAAAAAATATGAGCATATATATGAAGCTAACTAGCAAATAATAATATTATATTTACATTCTCCCCAACTTTTTTGAGATTTAAGCATGTAATATAAGCTCTTTATTAACCTTACAATTAAATCATTTTTTATATACATAAATCAAAAAAACAAAACAAAACAAAATTGCAAAATAAGCAAAATCTAAAACCAAAAACAAAAATCAATAGGAAAGATAGAATCCAAGATATAACATGTAAAGCAACTAACTAAAAGAAAAAATTATCCCCTAATAGAGAGAATGGATAAGGCGGTAGTAGATGCGCCTCCATTCCTGCCGCCGCCATTTCTCCAAAATAGCCCATTTGCCCTTTCTTATCACCATACCCTTCTATACTACTCGTCCCCGACGAAGACACCGCCATGCCGCTTTCAATCACTGACGGAGCCACCATAACCGCCGGAAATTTGCTTGTTACTGTGGCGCAACCATAGTTCATGACCTGTCCCACAATTTGTCGATTATGCCCCAACAACACTTTGGAGTCCTCAGGCAATGGCGACGACTGATAACTTGAGCGAGAAAAGTTGTTGTCAATATCGAATCCATTTTCCGGGGAAGAATTTACTCCTGGATGCCCTTCTCTTTCATCTTCAGATTTCACTGAATTATTCGAAGCCGCCAGGCTCGAAGACGATGAATACGAGGATGGTGTCATCGTCATCCGCCGCTTCTTCTCGGTGTTAAGTTGTCGTGTTCGTTCCTTTTCGAGCATCATACGAAGAAGGAGGTCAGGGTCATCAGCAACTTTGCAAAGAAACGACATCATTTGTTGCGGGCGTCGCTCCGTGACTTCTAAACGCTTGTTCATGCCTTGTAGCTCTTCTTCCGACGACTTTTGTTCCTCTTTTAGCCTCGCTATTTCCATGACTATTTCTTCATCGTCTAAATCCTCCGCTTTCACTTGCATGCAGGGATTTTTATTATGCTTTCTCCTGACTATGTTCTTAAGCAAATGCTTTTGCCCTCGGAGAAACCATTCATTTGCAAATTCCCACTTATCTGGATCCACCTTCCTGAAACCCTAAACACCAATTCCAAAAATACAAATAATAATAATAATTAAAAAAAAAAACTTGAAATAAATGAATCAACTTAAAAACATTAGACAGATATCTACTTACATAAGTATTAAGCTGGCGAACGAAGCTAGAAAAATTGCTATGCTTGAAGAACAGAGGCAAGATCCTCCGAGAGAAATCTAAAGGGTCGATGACTATGAAACTTTTATTAGCTTTGCCCCAAGTGATCAAAGTTTCAGTCATTGGATCATTGACCATCTGATAAGTTTTCACAACGAACGGCGCAACAATATTAGCGTTACTGTTACCCTCCATATAAAAATATAAAAATTAACCTTTTATGTCTCTCTCCACTTCCCTGCAACCTTTAAACAACAAAAAAAAGGCTTCCTTCTTTCTAAGCCCAAAGAGGAGAAGACGGCAGAGACAAATTATGTGAAAGGCAGGGGGCGGAGTTGGGTTTTGCTGCCTTTGCCCTTCGGGTGTTTTGAACCAAAGGTTAGAGGTAGAACCGTAATATATAATGGAGGCCAATGTACAGTAACGAATGGGGTGTCGTGGGTCGAATCAGGACGGCTTTGATATTTCCTGGGGTCATGAGAAGGGGACCCACATGGCACCGCCTTTCTCATCGTTCGCTACACGTCATGGTCCCATTGGGTTAGATATTTTCCAAGCCTATTAGACTTTTTATAATGTGCTTCACACATGCGCGTGGGAGGAGGGTTTCGCCTGCGATGTGGTCCCCTAAGGGTATAAACAATTTCAGCTAAAAGACAAGAGGGCTGTAGTTGTGATTAATAGTCACTTACTAAAAAGAGAAGATAATAACAATTTTTTTTTTAAAGTAGGACATCGGGAACTAAAAATCTGTCAAATTTTAGTATTTGGGATGTTAATATATAATTGGTCTCCTTAGTCACTCCTAGGCCTCAGTGGTCCTACCAATTAATTATAGCTAGTTTGTTTTTACTTTTTCTTTTTTTTTTTTTTTCTCTGGTTCAGTTTCTCCTTAGAGATTTGACTTGAATGTTCATCAACATTAATTTTTTAAATTTCATTAAATGAAAATAAAATTTTTAAAGTGAAAGAGATTAATTTGGAATATGTAAAATGATTTTGCTACAATGTTGATTCTAGCACTGTGAACTGATTCATTGTGATTTAAAAGATCTATTCAAGATAAAATTATTATTTTTTATTCATAATTGTGTTATATGTTAATGTTGATAGATCTAAACTTTTAGTTTTATTGATTATATTTTAAATCGCGGCAATCATAATATATATATATAAACTATTTTTTATTGGAAAACAAAATTGAGGTTTTATCTTTACGTTTTTCTATGAGGAGATGTTTTTAAATTTACATTTCATGGATATTTGTATTTGATTTATGTTACAATGTTATATGATTGTTGCAGTTGTATTTGGAATATAATAAATTTAACACGTATGAATATATATATTATATTTAATTTGGAAGTATAGATGTAGTAAATATGATTGATAGCAAACATAAATTAATCTTAAAACTAAAAACATTGATGAATGGAGAGGATTAGGGTAGACCCATTCCATAAAGGAATACTTTTGACAAACTTTTCTTTATTAGGATGTGTAATAAGAGACTGTTTAAATTCTTTTTATGAACTTTATTATACAAAGAGCTAAAAATAAAATGTGATTTTGTGTGTTTCACCTGAAGCATGCAGTTGTATCATTTATTAACATGTGAATTTGCATGTAAATCGTGACAATTGTATCATAAATACATATAAACCATACTAGTATTATGTAATAGTAGTGAGCAACCAACTTATTTATTTGTTTGTTGATTACCTTAATGCAAAATAATTATCTAATAATGTTTCTCATGTACACAAATAATTGACCGATCATGTGGTTCACATATAAAAATAATAGGCTTGCCATACAACATAAACTCCATATCATATGCATAACATAGCTATCATTGATGAGTTGGTTTAACGAACGAGAGTGAACATGTGCTCTAATAGCATGTTAAATGTTAAAGCCACATAAGAAAAGGCCAGTGAGAGAGACAACTACAGCTCCAAAGGTCTATTGAATTGAAAAGTAAGTTGTTTAGTAATATTATACTAATAAATAAATAGTAAAAAGTGGCTTCGGAAAGGAATCCGATTCGCCGTCGTGCGTTGGCGCATAATTCTTTCAAGACTTATTTATTTATATTTTCTTTCAAAAAAAGCAAAGGAGTAGTTGTCGCTTCCCCGTTGGTCCAACGGCTACGGCCGACCTTTTTTTAAAAATAAATAAATGAGTTCTTTTGGGTTGGGGCTACGCCCTTGCGGAGCAGGTCTATGTACCTCCAAATCTGTGCTTGTCTCCGTCTTATAATAACATTTTCTTGGTTTTTGTCTTTTTTTTTTTTTTTTTTTTAGTAGATTCCGTCTCAACTCATGAATTTCGTATTTTTTCTTTCCTTGAAGCTATGAACTTAAAGCTTTGAAATGAAATTTTATATCATTATTATATATACCCTTATTGAAAATTTTGCTTTAATAAATGGTTTTAGGGAATAATTATTTTTACCAAGTTGGGAGCAATTAAGATGATCGATCAAGCCTTTTAATTTGGCAAGTGAATATTTGCAAAGTGATATACAACTTATCAAATCATTTTTCAAAATGAATTAATGCTTTACTTCTATTATAGATATATATATATATATAAGTCTTTTATGTTTATGAAGTTCCTTTTATAAAAGAGGGTTGCCACTCTGACCCAAAAGCAAAAGGGGCAAATCCGGTATCAAATCTATAACCAAGGGGGTGTAATTAATTGGCTCTACTGTCACCACCACATGTATTCTATACAGAGTCGTGAGTGATAATATTATATCCAATGAATCCATTAATCAAGCAGGTTCTAGCTGATAGCTATTAATTAAAATGGAAAAAGCTTACTTAATCAAAGATAATGTTCTGATTTTTGGTTGGTTGAATTAATTAGATTCGGATTTTCTTAGGGTCTAAGTTTGATAAACAACTCCAAAACAAATACTCTACTCCCTCATAGATTAGACAATTAATTAAATCACCAATCTCATGTCATTTGCTTAATTTCATCATAACTCATAAAAATGCAGCTAACCGACTTGATAATAATAATAATAATAATAAGAAGAAGAAGAAATGCAGCCAATTGTCACAATCAAACACTCCTTCCATGGTGGGTAATTGTGATTTACTTAGATTTGTGGGCCATTTTTTAATCTGTTACCAGATTGCATTTTAGCTTAAGGTGAAGATATATAATCGATACAATTGGGTGCATGAAGACAAAGGAAGTATTACAAAATCTTGAGAAAAGAAATTTTAAGGAGCAATCAAAATTGGCGTGAAAAGGATCCAAGGTTTTGAAGGGAAAAAGAACTATAAAAGACACTGGGTTTGGGACAATGATCAATAATTTGTTTTTAATCACAAAGATATTTGCTGCTATGTCCGGTAAGAAAGAAAGTAGCAAATCGGGCTCGTTTAGACTTTAAAAGCCTTTAGTACTTATTTAAAAAATATATATGAAATTCAAATTTTAATTTAACTGATTCATATAATCATTTTTAAAATTTGACATTTAAAAATTTTAAAATTCAAATTATAATATCCTTATCTTCTTTTTCTATCATAAAACTGTAACTTTTTTTGTTAAAAAAATCAATGAAATATGAAATTCTAAAATCCTCTTTTTAGGGGTAAATCAGTATATGGATCGAGCTGCCCCTAAATTTTCAAGTTGGATATGATTTTAATTCGATAAAAATAATGTATTGAACTTAATTTTTTAAATCTATAATCTTTGGTAATTAACAATTGTCTAGAGGCATTTGTTAACCCATTCTTTTGTTCTTATTAAAAACAAATAAGATGATTCGCTTGCACTTGGCAGAGGGCTTATGGCATTGAATCCGAAAACAATTGGTTTCTTTTTTTGTTTTTTTTTTTTTTCTTTTCTTTTATAATGCTATTAAATGCCATGAAACAAATGAAGTGAAAAAGATGGAATGTGCTTTTCATCTGCCCTTTGAGAGGAAAACTTGTTTACTAGCAGCACGAAGGCCTCCCATGGATTCAACTTGGAATATAGACAAATCTTTACTACATATATAGATTTTCAACTGCCATTTCAAGGTATTCTATTGAAAAATTAAGCAATTTGATTCTTCCTTGCTTTGTATAAATATATATATATATATATATTCAACATGGCCCATTCAACTTATAATAAAATTTCAAATAATTATTATTTAGAATCTTGGATAATTCAATATTGGGTATCATCTTGAAGGGGTATGTATGGTCTTAATATCTCCGTTAATGAAGTCTAAAAATTACACGTATGCAATGAAGAAAACAATATTCCAAAGTTCAAAGTTGGATTAATATCTGTAAAATGAAAAATATTGGGTATAATTCATTCATTCTTTGTTTCTTTGTTTTGCAAGCACGTGAAAGAGAAAATTGTGAGATGGTGCTATGGTATTGGAATTCTGAAGCCTCTGATGTATTAGACAGACACTGAAGATTCAAGGCACACCATCAGAAAGTACAAACCAGGAATAGGACTTCCATAGCTGCAGCAAATTTTCAAGACAGTAACGTTGAGAGAAAAACCAAGAAAAAGAATTTGAAGAAAACAGTTGCTCACGTCACAATGTTAAAAAGTAGAAATCCCCGAGTGCTGCTTATACTCATCGAAAGGACAATAATCAAAATTTTGTACTGAAAATTAAAAGAGAAAAGAGTCCCACTCTTCTTCTTCTTCTTTCATTTGTCAATGAATTCTTTTCTTCGTTTGGTCGTGTGATATTTATCAATAATTCAATATTCTGTTCCTACAGGTGAACATAGAAAAGCACAAGTCCCAAAAAGCATGTGTCCTCTCATGTTCGGATGTTCCTTAGATGAATTGCTCCAAGCATGATTTGGAATTTTTCAGTACCTAAATGAGGCCAGGTGGACGGTTGATGCTAATTTTGCTTTACTTTATGTCTCCCAATTATGTGGCAATAAAACATCCATCATTCTCTTTTCTTTGGTTGGATTTGGACACAATCGGAATTTCATCTGGCCCTGTTGGGTTTTGCCAGATTGCTATACTTGAAGAAATAGATGCAAAAATATATAGTAATTTGAGATATGACACTAAAAACCTGAAAAAGGGAAAAAAATTATACTCAGCTTTCCTGAAATTCATGTTGAATGAGAACCAGGCAATCCTATCAAACAAATTCAAACTAGTAATTGTGAAGCAAAATGATTACGAAATACTGAAAATAATTGTTCTAGACTACTACTTTTTTATTTTGTGGACTATATGGCTAACCCCTTTCTCTTTTCAGTGGTTTTGAAACAAATCTTGTCGTCGACATGGTTAATAGAACTTCAAAAGGTCAATGAAATATTGTCCAAGGACAGGGAAAGAGCCTCAAACCTTGAAATTTAGGCTAAATATTATCGTATGGTAGTTGTTGATTGATTTATCTGTTTAATTATTTTTTTTATATAAAAAAAATTTTAATCTAGAAATAGAAAAACTTTTTATAATTTAAATTTCAAACATACATTTTTTGAACATACTTGAAAATTCTAAAAGAGTTCAATGGTTTCTCATATGTCATAAGTTGAACAAGGAGTGGAAAATGTGGAATTTAAATGAAAAAGAAAATTAAAGAGAGGGGGATTTAGAGGTAACCATTTGATTGGATGGTCTACATTGTCCAATTGATAATGGGATTGGCGGTAGGTAAGAAAGGAGGCAAATGTACTTTGAGGAATGGGATATCAAGCAAAGAATATTGATGTATTGATGTTGATGTGATGAGCCATGGGGATGAAAAGGTTTTATTTTTGGAGTATAATTGAGCCACTTGGTGAATTCAGACCACAGAAGGATTGGAGACGTTGATAGGTCAGTGAGATTGTCGTTAATGTATGTATGTACGTATGTATATATATTCAAGGTGTCCATTTATATTAATAAAACCATAATTTTCTCAGTTCAATTATTCAACAGTTATATAAAATCATAGTTAAACAGTAACGAAGACGAAAGAGAATGTATGTGATTGCGAATTTTCTTAACTGACTAAAGTACTTTTGAAAACTAATTTCAAACATCTAATATATAAATGACAAATATAAAAAAAAAAAAAAAAAAAATTATCAAATATACTATCAATGTAATTTTTTAATTCTATAAATGAAATTAATATGATAATACATGTCTCTTACAAAAAAAAGGGTTGTGTCCTCTTCCTACTCACTTACGAATTAAAAAGAAAATAAAGAGGAATGGGCTGTTAGTGGAATATAATCTATAGAAAAGGTATTTGGGTGAAGTGAGGTCGTGTGGTTTTAGATTGCGGGTTGGGTTTCAAAAACAACAATGGCCCTCCCCTAGAAAATGAGCCCAACTTCCCACACGTGGTCAGTAAAGATTACTAAAGAACAACGAAATATAATGCAAACAAGTAAAAACCAGACAGGAACAACCAAAAATAGAAAAAGTCGTATAAAGCTATACCAGGACAAGCTTAAAAACACAAAAACAAGGTGCTTTATTATTAACAATAACAGTACACTGCTGTCTGCTACAAAAATTTTACATATTTAATAACGGAGGAGCAATGCATATAAATATATACATATATAAGATATTTCTATGGAGTGCGGTATAACTCAAAAGCCACAACAGTTACTTGAAGCATAAAAAATGGAGGAAGAAAGAATCAACATTCCACTCTCACGACCCACTCTAATACGAACTGTAATTCTGTAACCAGGTGACAGTTTGCGGGTCATCAACTGCCTCACCATCAAGGAAGAAAATCATCAAATCATATGCCGCTTCAAATCCACACACCTAGCAGTCCCAGGCCAACTGCATCGGTGGATTTCATGAGCCCTTTTCTACAGATTAAATCAGTTGCCAGAAGATACTAAAACATTATACTCATTTAATCGTTTTTGGAATTGAGCCAAGCGGTTCTGCAGTTGTAGAATTCCTGCAGCCTTCTGTGAAAGAATGGTGTTTAACTTTGAGATATAATTATCCAGCTGATTGCCTGGTTGGTCAGCTTCAATTAGCAGATTCATTTCCTGCAGGCAAGATAACAATCAGAAGTTCAGAACAAAGGTAATCAAGGCAGATAATAGAATAAGCTACAGCCAGAATGTCAGTTACCTCCCTAACAATCTCTGTTGTGTCCTCCACTTGACTCCGATGAGCAGATACAAGATCTTCCTCTTCCTACTAACAAACAAGACCAATTTCATTTCACAATTAAATACAATTAGGGAAGAAAATCAGATGTCCAGATTTTGATTGATGGTACCTTCAACAGGGCACTCAAATCATCATATAAATGGGAATTGTTATCATCAAAGATGGTAGGATCCACACGCTTTGACAAAGCATCAGTCTTCAGCTTCTCCTCCAAAGAAGGCATTTGGTAGGTCAGTGCCTTACTATTAATTTTCTGCAACATCTTTTGTTGCTCATATGTCTCCTCAAAATCATCCTCAGCCATGCCATTTAGACCATCTCTCTGGCCCTTGAAACAATCTGAATATGGTACAGCCAAATTTCCTTCTATCCTTCCACTAGGAACATGATCCACTTTAAAAGGAGGAGATATATCTCTTTCAATCTGTTTGGACCACCCAAATTTGTTCTTTTCAAAAGGAACATCGGTTATATTATCCTCAAATGTGTCAGTTGGTAAAGGTGATGCCAAGGACAATGCAGTCGACTCCCTAAGATTTGATAATGAAGATGGCATATCCTTCTTGGAGTTGTTCCCTTTTGATAGGCTCTTCACCCTGGAAGGCAGGTATCCACAGTATTATTCAAACACATGCATAAGTCACTTCTATAATGCAATTTTAATTACAGAACCACATACCTGTCAGCATATCTGAGTGTATTCAGGGTATGTTCACATGATCCTGAGCTCGGTGAAATACATGATATCATAACGGTACGTGAGTCACCAACAAATGAGTCTCTAAGGACTTCAGTCAGCTTACTTCCTCTGAAAGGTATGTGACCCTGGTCATTGTCGAGAGCTCTGATGCATTCTTTTAAAGCAAGTAAACTTTTATTAATTTCAGCACCTTCCATTCTGCAGAAATATGAAATCAGCATGTTATGATTTGAACAGCACATTGTAAATAATGGTAGTCAGAGCATCCCAAATTATACGCAAAGAAAACAATAACAACAAACTAAGCCTTATATCCCATAACTCTGGGGTCAACTGTATAAAAGGCCAAAAAAGAAATCATGTTTGGTCGTAGTTTTGAATCTTCTTGAGCCACCCATTTCTATCAACATTTGATTATCTAGTTGGTGCACTTTCTGGCCTAGTACCTCCATGGAGCACTTCAATGGCTCTGTAAATATGCTTATGCAATTCATGGTACCATTGCTTTGAAGAAGTGTGATCCCACATTGCATGGATTCAAAATTTTTTACCTCGTCTGTTTGTCATTGTCAGTTGTGTCTGCACCACGCTCACTTCCAGCAAGATCTATGAAAGAAAGCTTCCCTACAAGTCTAGCAGGCTTTGTTTCACTGCCATCAGCTGATCTCTTGATGGCAAGCTGAAGAATAGCATGCGACCTAGAGGATTCCTCATTTGCTCCAGTAGTGCCAGTGCTTCTAGTTGCATTTCCTCTCTCAATTAACTCCTTGATCGTCTGAACATCTAATACCTTGTACTCTTGCAGACCTACAATACATACTTGTTGTTTACCATCTTCTCTCATGCAAAGCTTTCTGCAAAAAGTACAAATCTAATCAGAGAACTATAAAACTATAGGACAATTTGCTAGGTCTCCATATGAAAATAACTTACTTCCGATCATTAAGCAGATCAAAGACTTTTCCCCCATATATCTCAAAGAAACTGACAAAGAGTTGGAAACCTTGGTTCCGATATGTATGGTACATTAATCTTAATATATCTTGAGATGCTTTTAGAGGCAGTGGCTGCATGGTATATGTCTTTCCACTTCCTGAAAAATAGAGGATCAACTAAATGTTCGTTTGCAAGAATATAAATGGAAAAAAATTAAGATATGGAAAGTGGAATCTTGTGAACGTTGGAAAAGGACAAGAATTCAAAATATGGAATGCCAAGCCAAAATGACCCATACGAGATGTTATTTTAATCCACAAAAAACACATTTGAAAGGTGTAAGCCTGAACTAATTAAGAAATGGGCTTTTCCAAAAAGGTTAAAGATGCAAGTTTTTTATCACTTAAAAGAGAATGTAAAAGGAATTAGTTTTCCATTTATTTTATTCAAACGAAATTTTTAAATACTGAGCAATGGTTAGCCTTTCATATCATTTATTAAAAAATTTGCAACAGGTAAATTTGATAATCTGAAACAGCCCTTTTAATATGCATACATACACATTCACCCAAATGATAGCTTTAGCATTTTCCATTTCCCTTTTAATACAATTTATGTGACAACTCAAACACCATATACAGAAAGACAAAAAAAACAAGAACCATACCTAAAGACTCCAGAGTATAATTACTGGTAATAGAATCTAAAAGTTACATGTACTTAGTAAAGGGTAACAGGTATAAACACCAGGACAAATAAAAAAGAACCAAGTAGACAGCATTTAGCTCATAAATGACAACTTGGAAGAGGAGTCAAATGTGCTAAACCAATAGAAACACTTTCACATTTTGGTCACCATGAGAGTAGGAGAAAAGAGATGTAATTGTGACTATTTATAAATCAATTGTAACACTTAAGACTCCTGAAATTAGAATCAATAATATTTTTAGTCAGCGTTCTTCCCTTCCCAGAGAAACCAAAATTCTACTTGACTTCAGATTTTACAGTCTTTGTCAAAATTTTGCACAAAGAACATATAAAAGCACAGAAATTAAAAGACCAGCATTCAGCCAAAATTTTTTTAAATATCTGGTACTAAGCAGAAACAAAATTACAAGTTCATAGTGAGAAATGATTTTATAGAAGAGAATTTTTAGAATTAAGTGCCTTATCCACATAAATTTCAAATTTAGGATAAAACCACTTACCTGTTTGCCCATATGCAAAACAAGTCGCTTTTGTTCGATTGAAAATTAGTGGGATTATCGGCTCCACAGTCTCAGAATACACCTAGAGCAATAGAAAATGAAATCTAGTGAAATTAGCTGAATGACACATTAAATGTTATCCACTTCCTGTGATATACTCACATCCTCATTGCTAACATCTTCATTCAGTACAGCATCAAAAAGAAATTCATGCTTCTCAACATATTCTGTCAGGTCAACCTGCGGGCATCAATCATTAGACCTCATGTAAAAGACTGCTACTAGATCATATATAATTAACCATGGAAGAAGTAAGTTTTACAGCTGGTGGAGATTATCATGAGTCACGGAGGATCTAAAATAATATGTCAATTTGGATTTTCCATAAAAATCAAGGCAAAGAGCAATTAACTTCTTTGGTTCAAATTTTAAGCAAGTAATCTCTTGAAAATGCCAAAACAGCATACAACTGTGGGTCAGGAGCTCAAGTTAGAAAGTCCACCAAAAATTAAATCCAAACATCTACATCATTACACAACTGTAGGGAAAAAGAGAAGCCTACCAGCTGCTCACCTTTAGTCTTTTTTCATGAACCATTAGTGCATTCGAATTTGCCTCTATATTGATAATATCTTCTTCTTTCTTAGCTATTTCCTTTTTGTTCAATGGTCTCTTGCGCACCTGCATTGGAAATTATTATTAGCTATTTTAACAATGGCAAAACAAAAGCGAGCAAGTGTATATGGTTTTCTTTGCCAATTTCAACTGTCTATATTTGATCCTATTTGGTATTAATAGCAGGCTAAGATTTTCATAATCTAAAGCATATCTTTTGAGGTTTGATAGTGCAAAAAGCATGGCTCTCTACGTAACATTCAATTGTCTATAAAACAGCAACTTTAGTTCAGATCATCAATTCATCACTCAGTTTAGCATTAAGGTTCTCAAAATCAAGAGTTCATTGCATTCTTGGCACAAATGATGGATCACTTCGGTACAGCACTCATTCAAAACATTGAAATTAATATTTTCTGTGTGATATATAAAATGAAAGTAAGCATTCAAGTAGCATACCACAACTTTAATCTTGGCAACATTGTTAGCTCTTTCTTTATCCACTGAGATGCTTTTAAGAAGGTTATTCTCAGCCATTCCACGTGGCCTGTTTGGAAGTTTGTTGGTAGACAAATAAGGTTCAGAATCATCAAAACTTTTACCACGAACAGGTTTCTCAAGCTCGTATCCTTCATATAGGTTAGGAACCTGCGACTATAAAAAGGACTAACAAATTTACTATCCACAAAAGAAAAGCAAGTTTCAAACAATAAGTAATTTTAAACGCCACAAATTATTAATATAAATCATTGTTTAATAGTTCGTCAGGTCAAAAAATGCTATGAAAATACAATGCAGCTATCTAATTACCAATTACATCACTTGATTAACCTGAGGATCAAATCAAACATTATCATGGAACAACATTTAGTATTAGTTAGCATTTAATATTTTATTATAACACAGCTAAGCAAATCTATGCATTCATGTGTGAGAACAAAACCGGAAAGCTTTAATCTAATTGAAGAAATAGAGTAAAACCTCGGGAAGAAGCTCAGTATCAAATGAATGCAGATCCAGTAAGCCGGGGCTGAGTTCACTTGGCGACACGTACTCATTGCTGTTCTTCCTCAAACTCGACGACCTCGAACAAACGGGCGGTGTCCCCGGCTCGGGCGATTTCCTGCTTATTCTTCCCTCGCCATAGAACCCGAACTCCTAACCAAAAAGCAAAAAAAAAAAAAAACGCCGCCTCAACAAGAAATGCAAAATGTAAATGAGAAGAAAGAGAGAGTGAGAGGGAAAAAGATCGAAGACCAGAGAAGAAGGGAAATTGGAGGACTCAAGCCATTTGCTGTTAAACGACGCATCGAGGAAGATATCGGAGTATTGTCGTTGATGATGCGCCGTCGAATTAGATCTCGCCATCTGTCTCCCAACCACGCTCATTCTCTCTAGCCGGCCGTACAGTAATTCGCAAAGCCAAAATTGAAAAAAAATAAATAAAGAAATAAAGAATAAGAAGAGAGAAAGGAAAGCTAACGAGAGAAGACGAAGTAAATACAAGTGATTATTGGTATGATATTGTTTTGAAGCTTTCTTTTTAAAAGTTCAAACTACCAGTACTAAATTTGAATAAGCGATTGTGCATGTGTGGGTGAGCCTTTTTTTTTTTTTTGAAATTAAGGGGCGAGTGGGACACGGGAAAGGGGAGGACGGAATAGGACTAGTGGCGGGGTCCACGCGTGTGGTGCTTTTGAATGGGGAAGGCAAGCAGAATGATGTTTTTGTTTTGGCTGGTTTTTGTTTTTGACTTTTATTAACGTATTCGGGATTTTTTAAAGGAAAGAGTGGTGGACCACGCTCAAGAAACAGCGCGTGCTTGCATTACGGGTGGACTGGCTGTTTTTTTTTTTTTTGGGTGGGGGGGGGGGGGGCCTGGGCAAGAGCGGCGACAGCCGCTTTGTTGAGTTAGTAAAGTGTCAAACTGGGAAGTGGGGTGGCGGCCCTTGTTGCCTTGGGCAGAGTTGTTGCTCCTCACGTCGTTAACTGACGTGGGAAGATTTAGTGGATCGCGGACTATGATTTTAAATCCTGCTTGGGCCAACGCTCACTAGACGGTCCATTAACCACAACTGGGAGGGAGGGAAACTTTGATTTATTTTTTTTTTTAACTGGGAAAGCAATACTCCAACTAGGACCGGGAGGGAAGCTTCAATTTGATTTCAAATGTGTCAGTGCCATATTTCCCTTCTAAATCAAAACGAAAGTAGGCGTATTAATCACTTCAGTTTTAACTTTTTTTTTTTTTCTTTATCATACTAGGTTTTAGCTTAAGTGATTTGAGTAGAGAATTATCGGTTCAACTATGCTTGATGCTCCATTGTCTTGGTAAAAAAAAACACTATGCATCATTGGCATCTTGTTTACCAAACTAAATACATGCTTCTTGTTAAAAATAATACAATATATAATGTCTGAATATTACCAATTCATAAACTCTATCTAACATAAATATAATGAATTTCACATTCACCAAGTATCATTCAAATTTTAGGATTATATCTTTGGGAAAGGCTGAGAAAAAACTGAAAAAAAAAATCAAAATTTAATGTTCAATTTGATTTGCATCAATTTTTTTAATTCAATTTAATTTTGATTTGATATTAGATGTTTTAATTCGGTTTTTGAATCATAAAATTAAAAAATAAAAAAAATATTACAATCAAATTATATTTTTTATTAGTTTTAATATAACTTTTAAATTTTTATAAAAAAATTAATTATTTTATAGTTAAATCTATTAATAATATTATTAAAATAGTAAAAATAAAACATTTTAAAAATATCGATGAATCAAATCGAATTGATAAATTTTTATTTGAATTAATTAATTTCAAAATAAGTTGATTTGAATTCATATTAATTTTTAAAATTTTAAAAGATTATGTATTATATGAAACAATTAAACTAAATTAAACCGTTATCATTTCTATAAAAAAATAAATTAATTAAACAACAAATTAAGAAATTTTGAAGAAGTGAGTTTTCTTTTTTTCTAAAAGTAAATGCAAGTATATTTACTTATTATTGTATACATCAATGATGGATTTTTAAATTAAATAAATGGTGTTAGATGGTTGTTACAACCCATATAAATATATAATTAATCGAGTTCAGGTCGATATAATATTAAATTTGAATTTAAGCTTGAAATTCGGATCGAACTCGATCGTGTTTTAATTTTTTATTTCAAGTTCAACTCAATATATAAATTAAGCTATTCAAGCTCGTTTAATTAAGCTTGATTAACATGTAAAAAATAAACTTAATTTTATATTCAACAAAAGTTTGATTATTTGTACTCAAATTTAAATTCAAGTTCGATATATTTTTATTAATTAAAATATAAAAATTCGATTAGGTTCATGAGCTATTCAAACTAAATATAAAAATACTTAAATTTGACTTAATTGATAAATCAAATTACTCGAACTTAACTTGATAATAATCAAATTGAATTTAAATTTTATTCAAGTCAAACTCGAATAATTTACGAATATTAATATATTATTTACACCTTTAAACTCTTATGTCCATTAAATAATTTATTAATTTATAGGGTTTAAATTCCACCGTCCATATACTATATAATAATTTTAAAAAATACATCCTATTGGAGATTGTTGAAGGAATGATGTAATTTCAAATTTTTTAGTTTTATGAAATTCAATAAGCAAAATACTACTTGAATTTAACTCGTTATGTTATCGAGTGATAATTATTCATTATCAAATTAAGTTATTAAAGCTCAAATTATTTGAGTACCAAGTTGAGCTAAGTTTAATTTTTTTTTAATACTTAACTTAAGTGATTATACTTAAAATGCAAATAGTCGAATTGTGAAGGTGCTCCTTAGTCCCTCATAGGCTAAGTAAATGTTTCTAGCAACAGTGGATAATTTCCTGCAAGTAGACATTATTTCCCTTTTTTATTTTCCAATTATGATTATACATTATAATGTAATTATATTTACAAGTTGCCGCATTTTCCATTTTTATTTTGTTCGATACTTTTATGGTATTTGGTTTGGAAGAGAGTGGTGGAGTGGAATGTTTTAATATTTTCTTTTACGTGCAAGTGCATTGAATGCTTCTCAAAATTAATTTTGCATTAATTTAGTATTTAAATTTTTTTTTATGGCAACAAGTTTTATAGTAAAGTCATCTATAAAACAAGATATTTTTTCTTCTTGGTTCATTAATTTAAAAACTTTGGTTTTAAGATTCAAAAAAGCAAAAAAAAAAAAAAACCTTTTAAAAGGAAAATTTCAAAAAATGATTTCATTGTATTATTAAACGATTTATTGCTTTTATTACAAAACATTCCTTGAAAACAAAAAATTTTGGTATTTTAGGACTAAATCATAAGTTGTATATTATCATTTTTAAGATGTAATATTTAACAAATATAATATAATTAAAATTTAACATCTGTAATTATTTTTTTATCCTTTTATTATGATTTTTTTGTAAAAAGAAAGTTATGAGTATAAAATTTTTTTTTACGTGAACACAAATTTAGAGAACTAATTACATTAGAATCCAATTAAAAACATAGTTAAAAGAAAACATGTAATTATTATAATAAATTAGTTACACAATTTGTGCATACGTTGCTTCTAAATTTAATTTGTAGTCAATTAATGCATAAATTTCGTAAAAAAAAAAACAAAAAGCACCCCATCCCTAAAATTTACTCAGGCATTTGACTAGGGATAGCAACGGATCGGGTCGGGGCAGGTTTTTGCTCGCCCCGAACCTGACCCGATTTTAAATATACAATACACGAACCGTACCCGATCCGATATTTTTTCATTTTAAATACCTGACCCCAATCCGATATTGTATAAAATCAAATCCGATCCGACCCGACCCGACCCGAAATTAATAAAATATTATTTTAAATATAAATATAAAATTAAATATATATAATTAAATATAAAATTAAAAAATTAATTAAAAAATATTTTTTTATATATATCGGGTCGGGTTTGCTTAAAACTCGACCCCAACCCGAACCCGAAATTTTTTTTACTCTACCCGACCTACTCGACCCGATACCCGATTTTCAAAAAAAAAAAAAAAATCGACCCTAAGGGGTCGGGTCGGGTCGAAACCCGACGGGTTCGAGTGATTTTATCCTCCCTACATTTGACAATCCGAGAAGCTCAAAAATTTAATTTATAGTCAATCCTTACCCTTAATCCATTTTAAAACAATTCAGTTGTTGTCATTATTTTATCTTTTGAAAATCTCTATAAATCTGTAACAAATTTGGTTTTATTTGGTTTTCTAACATAACGCTGTTATGTAAATATTTTGTATTTTATTTTTTTAATTTATATAGATATTCATATAAAAATATTAATAATTAAAAAAATTATCACTCATGCATTGCAAGATATTAAAAACTAATAAATAAGAATAATCCACACCATTGCAAAAAAAAAAAAAAAAAGCCTAATAGAAACACATTATAAATAAATAGTATAAAATTTTTTAAAATTTTTTATTTATTTTTTCATAAAAAAATCAAATAAAAAAAAGAGTATAAAAGTAATGAGTTAGTAAAATATTTCATAAATTATTTGAAATTAAATTTAGTATTTAGTGTATTTATATTATGTTTATTTTGTTTAAAAAATATGTAAAAAATATCATGTCAAATATGAAATAATTTTTTATTTTTATTAAAATCATATATATAATTTTTATCAAAATTTTAAATAATTTTATTTTCGTATCTAGTGTAAAATTAACAAGTCTATTTGAAATTCAATATGACATCATTTTCCCTGAATTTTACGAGGGAGATAAGAATGTTGAAAACCAAAAAGAAAAATATCATTTGAAAAGGTTCACTTCACCGCCCGCGCGAAACTCAGAAGACCGAAAATTTCATTTTTAAAGCTGATGAAAAAACAAGGCCAAATAGAAAATCAAAGGCTTTTTCCAAATTAGAAGAAGAAGAAAAAGAATGGCACAAGCAGCAAGGCTTAAACTACGAATGCAAAAGGAGCTAAAGCTCCTTCTCACAGATCCTCCTCATGGCGCTTCCTTCCCTTTTCTCTCCCCCCACTCTGATCTTTCTAATCTCTCCTCCATCAACGCCCGTAAGATCAATTTTCTTTTAAGTTACAATTTTTTTTAAATAAAAAAACCGAGCAATTAATTGAAATCCAAAATCTGGTTATATGTTGTTTATCAGAAATAGAAGGCCCTGAAGAAACTGTATATGCCAAAGGAATTTTCAAGATTAAGATTCACATACCTGAAAGGTATAGCTAAGTTACAGAATGAATTTCATTTTTTCTTTGACATTTTAAAATAAGAAGAGGCTTATTGGTTTTTTTTTTTTTCAAAGGTACCCGCTTCAGCCTCCGATTGTGACTTTTGGGACGCCCATTTATCACCCCAACATAGATAATGGAGGTCGAATTTGCCTTGACATTCTCAATCTTCCCCCCAAGGTTAGTTTTGTTTTGTCCCCTCCTAAATGTTCTATTACTGGATCATTCTCTTACATGCTTTGATTATATTTGAGGAGAAAGTGGAATGGTTAATTGTTTGTTCCAAAAGCTTATTAAACTGATGTCCAAAGGACACAATTTTTACGTTAAGTTCTATAATGAAGACTTTAGGTTTCTATTTCAGTCAAAGAATGTTGAAAATGTAAGGGCTCAGTGATCTTTATGCAAATGGATCATGTCTGAAGTTTTTCAACTTTCAATTTCATTGCTTCAAGCCTGTGTTTCAGGTTTATACGTCTTTTTGGCAGTAGATGGCACCGTAAAATTTATACTCAAAGACCATATTTGCATCATTGGTTCTTCTTTTATTTCATTTCCCAAAATGGAAGTTCTGTTTCTTTCATGCATCTGATATATGACATGACAAGAAGGGTCTGATTCTCATCCAAGCAGGGGGCATGGCAACCTTCGTTAAACATTTCAACAGTGCTTACAAGCATAAGGCTATTGCTCAGTGAACCAAATCCTGATGATGGCCTAATGTGTGAAGTAGTAAGTGCACATTCTCTCTGATGGATTGGGTTAGGCTGATGAATGGAAATTCCTTTTTTCTTTGCTTTTTGATATGTTTGATGAATTGGCAGAGTAGGGAATACAACTATAATAGACAAGCTTTTGACCATAAAGCAAGATCCATGACTGAGAAATATGCCAAGGCAGGAGGTGGAGAAAGCAGTTGTAGCAATCAATGCGCTGAAAATAACACAGATACAGGGGTGGTACTAGCATTTGATTTGTTTGATTTTTAAGTTTTCCTTGTATTGGATTCTTTGTTTTTCATGCTTCTTTTGGTTGCAGATTGAAGTTCAAGGATTAGACAAAGAATCAGAACATGGTACTAATGAGTTTATTCCTAGCCATAAAAAAACACATGGCATTAGCCAGAAGTTATCACTCGAGTCTACTCTTTCAACCAAGAGAAAGGATGGTGATCAGGAGGTGAATGAGGTTCCTAATCACCACTTGTTTCCCTGTGACGAGAGAAATCAGATGGAAGGTAAGAGAAAAAGAGAAAAGGAAAATGATGTGCTGAATGAATGCAATCTGAACAATGAGAAAATTAATAGAAACGGGCGGAAATCATCTCTGAAGTCTTCTAGTCAATTCAAGGACGATTTTGATAACAAGGAGAATGTGGACCCAAATTACTCATCCTCACTGAGTCAACATCAGCCTTCTTTTGGATCATTACTTTCTCAGGCTAGCCGCAATCAACAACTTGACCAGCATCAAGATGGTAAATCAGCAAACATCAGCATAAAGAGCAGTTCAAAACTTTGTCAAAGCCAGAAACAGCAATTTGGGTCTGTGGAGTCATTGCAAACATGTGAAAATGTGAAAATTCTTGGGATAGTTGAAGAGGATTTTGTTGATAGAAAGGAAAACGTCTCTGCTAATACAAAATCGGAGAAGCTTTTACTGAGACTGAAAGGCTTATCACATAGACAACAAGAGAGTAATAAAGAGAATGTGATGCCACTATCGAAACCCCAAACTCTTGCAAAGAGTAGGCTTGGTGGTAAGCTATCTCTAGGTTCTTCAACCCAAGTGCAACAGGATTGCGGAGGTTACCAGAAGCAGCAGTCTCATCAAGTTGTTCAAAGTTTGGAAATTGATATGGGGATAAAGCAGAAGGGAACAGAAGAAACAGAAGAATTTTCAATATCTGAAACTGTAGTTGTGCTAGATAGTGAAGAAAGCGAGGAGGAAGGGCATGGTGCCCTAGTGAGGACGAGAATGCCACTAGCACGGAAGCGCCTGGGGAAGTGGAGAGTTGAGGCTTGAAACACATAGTTATAGTTTCCAATCTATGCGAAGTCTCTAATATAATTTGGGCTCTTTTTGGTATTCGAATAGATGCTTCCTTGAGTGAAACTTTTTTAAAGTGTTTAAAGACTCAAATCTCAATGGTGCATAACATGATTGATGGTTGTATTCACAATAGAATCAAGGCAAGAGATTTTGCATTTTCATGTATTTCCTTCTGTTACGTTTATGAGGAAACGTTGAATCCAAAACTAAAAGTCCATTTTGGTTAAAATTACTCCAATAATCTGATTCAATTTTAGGGTTTATTTTGGATGCCCCGTGAATTCAAAATTGCACTTAACCCTAAAGAAAGAATTATTGGGTAAGTAATAACTCAATAATGTAGAAATAAAAGAAACCAGGGTGGAAGGAACTTAGAAATTTCTCCACCTATAAACGCTCAAGGACTCGGGTGCTGAACCTCCAGATATTAGAATTGAGGCCATTGGGAGACCGACTGAGATGAGCACGAGTCGGAGAAGGAAATTACAAATTACTGGTATGATATTTGTGTTCAACAGGATATTTATTCGATGGGTTTAATTTTATGCAGTAATACTCTGTTGGGATGGTGCTGTTTGATTAATGCCTTAATGGGTACTGTTTAGATAATTCAATCTTCGGAGAAACATGTTGCTTTGATAAATAGGTTATGTTTTTCTGGTTTGGAATTTTATTGTCTAAGGGAGTATGATTTATTATGACCACCTTGGTTTACATGGCCGGAGTGGAAGAGGCCTAAACCTGGGCTTTGACCTGATATATTTCCTCAATTTAGCCCTATGAAAACACCATTACCAGCACCAATGCCATATGATCCTCCCGAAGAAGATGAAGAAGAGGATGAAAAGAAAGAGAAAGAGGAAGAAGATCCTGGAAAGGAAGAAGAACCCGAGAAACAATAGTTAGTATTTGCTGCTGCTGCTACTGCTTCATTTTTTTTGGTAATAAGTTTCCAATGGTGGTTACCACTTGCTTATGCGCCTAGTATTATAGTCATCCGTTTTAGAGCATGGTGTGAGTGATGTCTCCTAATTGGAGTTGAGGGGATTGTTCAAGCGTTTTCTTGGGACTTGTTTGTCTTATTCAGGCTAATATAGGGAAACTTAGGCCTAAGTTCCTGCTTTCGTAGTATCATAATTCGCAAGTCTTTCTGATATGAATATACTTGTTTCTTTTGAATACTGTGTTCTTAGCTGTTATTTCTTGTTCATTTGTTTCGATGACTAGAAATTTATCGAGAACGTGAAATTCAATGATGTCAAATTCTAAGTTCAAGATTTTGAGTGCAATGTAAGGGTTAGGAATTTTATTAGTGGTTATCTTGATGAGATATTGGATGACGTGAAATTAAGCTGCTTCTCATGCATCTATGATGTGAATCGTAGGCTATCCTCTTGTGCAAATAGCTGACCTCTTCCTATGATTTAATTCTTGCTAGATCTGCAAGACAAATAAAACAGAAATAATCTTAGATCACTTCCCAAGCCCCAAAACAGAGTTTGCTTGATAAGTTTTTAACAGACTTCTAAGGCTCCATCTGGCATTAATTAAAAAACCATTTTTATAATGGAATTGATAAAACTGATAAATGTAAACACTCAATTTGATTCAGGTACGAATCAATTGAATCTGATCCAACTAAGTAGGTCCACTTTATTTTTTTATTTTTTGTATTTTGTATATATATATATTTGTTTTTGTATCTTATGTATTTATTTACTATTACTATTTATTAATATATATTTATTTTTTTTATTTATCTGTTAATATATATTTATTATTTATCTATTTATATATTATTATATATATATGTATTTATTATTATTTATCTATTTATATATTATTATTTATCTAATTATTTTTTTTAATTATCTATTAATATTTTTTGATTTGATTTGATTTTATTTTCTTTTTTTCTGTTGAGATTGTGATGGAAATTTGAAATCTTACCGTGAATTTGGAATTCAATCAGAGTTCATATTAGATTCAAGGATGGAATCCTAATCCAAGGAGTAGTTGGGATTGATCAAAAATTTTTCTGATCAATCCCTATAAATAGAGAGAATCACAAAGATCCAAACACACAAAAACGCAGACACTGACTGAGAGAGAGTGAAAAGAGAAAGAAAAAGACGTCCAGAAGGGTCAGAGGCAATTTCAGGATTTTTTAGAAATTTTTGCGAATTTTTTTTTGAAAATTTTTGAAAAATTTTTAAATTTCGGTTGAATTTTTTGGCGAAGTTTAAATTTTTTGGTGACTTTTTCGGCCAATTTTGAATTTTTCAGCCAGTTACCCAGTTTTCGGCCATAATTTCCAGAAACCGATCAGCTTTCCTATGAACTTTCGGTAAAAAACCTAGATTCAGTCAAAATTTTTAGAATTCGACGAGATTCAACCAGAGTTCTTCGTCTATTTAGAGAGAAGGGAGAGGAAAAGAAGGGAAGAAAGAGAAGAGGAGAAGGGAATTCTGAAAAAAAATCGACCTTCAGCTTTATATACCTTCCCAAAACGACGTCGTTTTTGCGTTAGTAAACCCACATGATCTGTGCGTTTTACCAAGATTCCACCCGACCCGAGTACCAACCCTCGTACGACCTGCGTGTGACCCGAGTGTGAAGCCGAGTCGAGCCGAGCCACCTACACCTGAGTCGCGTCTCCGAAGCCGTTATTCTTCCTAAAGCCGAGTCGAACCGAGCCGTTTCTAGTTTATTTATTTATTTATTTATTTATTATTATTATTATTATTTGTTGATTAGATTAAAATTATCTAGTATTTTTATTTTATATTATTTTTATCTTTATTTTTATTTTTATTATTTTTTTAAATAAATTTTTAAAAAAATATTTTTAAGAAAAAGTTGAAAGTATCAATTTTCCTTGAAAATAAGCTTTCTAAAAAATATTTTTGAGAAAAAGTTAAAAGTATCAATTTTTCTCGAAATTAAAGTTTCTAAAAATTATTTTGGAAAAAAGTTAAAAGCATCAATTTTTCTTGTATAAAAGCAATCATTTTTTTTCTTTTTATTTTCTTGAATTTTCTTTAATGTTAAATAATTCGACGATGGAGCCTCTGCAAATGAAATAATAGTTTTCTTGCATACTCTTGAGGTGAGGGAATTTTCTCAATTTTTTGCTAAAAGTATTAGAGTCAATTGAGAATAATTTTCAATAATTAATCACTTAGTAAATTTTTAAAGCTTATTATATAACACAAAATTAAGTTGGTACCATCTTTCGATGGGCATTGTGAGGGTGCTATATCCTTTCTCACACGTAACCGAACTCTCGAACCCTGTTCTGGTTGGTAGACCTGAACCTATTCTTTTAGGGACCCTTAAACTTAGGTGTTCTTTGAAAGGAGAGATTCCTTAGGTGGCTAATCACACATAGATAAAAAAGATTGGTAGCGACTCCTTCAAGTCAATGTCTAGCGATGGATCTCCAGATCTGGACGTTATGACAGCTTGGTGACTCCACTGGGGAACTCTAAGAGTTAGGCCAACAAATAAATTTGTGTTATCCAAAAGCCTAATAAAATTAAACCTTTTTGTATATATTTTATTTATTCATTCATGTTTATTTACTTTATTAATTATGTCATTCATATGCATATGTATAACATGAGCTCTATACCCGAACTCTGTCCCTCTAGGAAGGAGTAAAGTACCTATTGCTTTCATGAGGTTTAATACCTCCGCAGTGGCTAGTGAAATACTCTCACTCAAATTGAACTTTTTTCGCTTGTAGCCTGTAATGGGTGAGAATTAGAGTGCCTTATTAGTCTGTGATGGACAATGATGTAAAGAGCAATTTGAGAACCTTTAGACTTTAACCTCAAACCCCATGTAGTGAACCTTAAGAATGCCTAACCTATAGATAGAGCCATCATCCTTCCCTTTTAAAATTGACCAGAAGCATATGGTTCATTCCTCTTATTCTGTGTGATGTTTTAATTTACTTAATTATTTATTTATTTCTTTTTTTTCCTGGGCATACTAACCTTTTCTCTCATTTTTTTGTATTGGTTCATGCTCATATCATAAAGTTGCATAAAGAACATTTGCTTGAAAGATGGTCTTCAACAAAAAATTTTCATGGACTCTATAGAACGACTAGTTTGTTCTTCATCTATATTAGCACCTAGTGAGTCACCCAACGAAGTAAGGGTCCAGTCAAAAAAGATTCAACTGAAGATGAGAGATTGTTTACCAATCGAATATAATTTTACTTTGTCTCAAAAAACATCTATCCTCCTCAAACAAATTAATCTAGAAGATTTGATTAATATATGGAAAAGGATAAGTCCGTCAAGACAAGAGTAATTTTCCCAAAGACACGGGCATATAGCACACTTTCTTGCAGTAGTTATTGAAGATCAACTAATCAGAGCTGCAGCGTAATTATGGGATCCTACATACAAGTGTTTCATCTTCAATGAAGTTGATATGACACCAACCATCGAAAAATATTCGATTTTATTGGGTTTGTACCTCAAGGCTCCTGATAAGATATACGTCAAAAAACACAAGTCAAGATTTTGTAAGGGTTTGGCTCAACTCATGGGGATAGACAAAGAAGTTATGGATTCTCATACAAAGAAGAAACAAGAACAGGTTTACTTACCTTGGAAGTTCTTTCATGAGTTTCTATTGTAACATGCCAACGAAGAACGGGGATTAGATGTATTTGCCTTAGCTATCTATGGAATGGTGATATTTCTAAAGGTTTTAGGTTATATCGAGATAGCAGTGGTTGACTTCTTTGAAAGTGTGATTAACGGTTATAATTTTTCAACGGTAATATTAACAGAGACTATCAGATCTTTGAGTTACTATCGTTGGAATGGAGGGCACTTTATAGGTTACATACAATTATTATACTTATGGATGAAAAGCCATTTTGAATGGGGAAAATATGCTTTCTTGAAGCTTTATGTCCTTAATCGAGCCCCGATCAAGGAATTCTATAAAAGTGGATGGTCAGAACGAAAGTCTAAAAAAGAATGGATAACTTTTCTATAAAAATTGACTAGTGCTAAAGTAAGATGGTTGGCCCCATGGCTGAATCATGAGCCTATGTTGTATCAATGTGGAGATAATACAGTGGTCCCACTTTTGGGTTTGTTGGGAGCGATAAATTATACACCACTCCTAGTGAAAAGGTAGTTTGAGGCAGAACAGTTTATTCCTATGACACATAGGCTTCATCGGTTAGATTTCTCTTACACTGAGCCAAAAGCATTTTAAAAGATGAATGAGATGATTAAAGTATGGAAAAATCCCT